AGGAACCGGTACCGTGAACTGGTGAACCGTTAAGGAACCGGTACCGTGAACTGGTGAACCGTTAAGGAACCGGTACCGTGAACTGGTGAACTGTTAAGGACAGTTTACCGGTACTGTTGCATCCCTAGTTATTACGAAAAAACGTTTTTTCAGAAAATCACATCATTCGGTTTGACTTTGTACGTAGATTATGAATATCATATTTATTTTTAATACAAACTTTGTATGGTTGCGAAAATGAAATGAATTTATATTTATTAAGAGATTAAGAATGTTTGACTCTGTGGTAAAATTTTAACGTTTAACAGATATCTAGAAAATCGGCTCAACAAACGATTTCTAGAAGATACGGAGTTCTAGAGACTTCAGCTTAAAACTTGTCAAAAACAATTTTTTAAGCATGTCAGTTGATAGAGAATATATGAAAACCTATGTTTCAATACAATTTTAAGCTCAGTTATGATTTTTTAGCTGAAAAAGTAGAGAAAGTCGCATTTTCGATCCTGAGTCAAAAAGTCAGTAACCTAGATTTCGTCAGACAAGGACTTGATGGTTTGAAAATAGTTTAATAAAAGCTTCTGAGTACCTTCTATAAACCTATACTTTTAAAATATTCGTCACGTCACTTTCAGTTTAAGTTCTTTTTTCTTTAAAATCGGTACTAAAAGCACCAGAATCACTCATACATTTTGCTATAAGTTATACGTTCAACTTATTTTGTAACTAATAATGCATTCATTATAGAAACAAAAAAGCTTGCAACAAGTCTATTGTACTTTTTTAATGTTTATAATAGATGGATGAAATACTGGATCTGATTTCCAATTAGAATATCTGAAAAATGGTAATAACCATCCAATAATATTAAGTACTAATGATATCGAATATAACATAGTTGCTCGCTCGACTGTTTCAAATGAAGGGATTTTACCATTGATTAACTCTCTTTCTAATGGTAATAGCTTCATAATTATAATATATAACATTGTATACAACTGAACAAAATTGATAAGATCTAATAAATGTCTTCCAATATTTGCTTTTCTTGTTAAACATTGTACAGTATCACGTGTTATAATAAATGCACTAATAGGTACGATAGATAATGTTAATATTTGCCAATATTTCCATATATGAGCATTTGTTTTAAAATTTAAATATTGTGAAAATAATTCTGGTTGGTTATGTTGTTGACAATAGATGGAAAGACTTAATTCAATTAAACTAAGAGATGAAAAGTATGTTCCCAGTACTGTTGCAACACACAAAGCAGCAACTGAAAACGGTGCTTTATGTAATTTGGGATTATATTCAACAACAGAGTTGGAATCAACATTAGAAGTTGCAATTTTAGACGACATGCTTTGACTTTGAAAAATATCCTGTAAGAAAAAAGGTATAGATAATGAAAAAGAACAAAAGAAACTGTGCCTTACACAAATCCTCTCCAAAGTTCCAACACGGATTGCGTGCGTACATTATCTGCATAAAGTACAGGGTAAAGGGTGGTGTGAGAAGACACCCTTAATGAGACATTTTTACAAAAGTGATTGACTAAACTTGTCACAAAATAACGATAATCTTTTCAAATTTATTGTTACGTGGTAATGATACCAAAGCTGATATATACAATAAGAATAATAGACGTGTTACACGAAAAAATAAGCTTAGACTAGTTTCTACGCGCAGGATCCTATTGAGCTAAAACTTTGGCAAATAGATCTCGACAACAAAGCAAAATTTAAAAAAAAGAGGGTTATACTTTTGTTATCGACTGAAATTCTGTTTTGACTATGCCAGAATGATAATCGGATTAAAATAATTTATTTTATTTTTCCATCGAAATAATAAAAATTAAAAAGTTAACAAAGAAGAAAAAAGGACTTAAAAAAGATTAAAAGATGGCTGGGTTTTTCTC